ATGCAGGGAATTCAGTTGTTTCTTACCTGCCGTTGGCTGCTGCGTTGTGCTACAGCTCTCCCTCCCTGGCCATAATATTCGATTGCTTCAGGTCACCACCGAGCATGTGAATTCCAGTAATGCTGCAGCCTTACGGGAGTGCTTCACAAAAACCAAGATGCGGTGGGGACAACCATAGCTGCGCACACGGAGGCAGCAGCCTCCTGCCTGGGTGCCAAAGGAACGTGCGGTTTGGGAGCTGCCGCCCAGTGATCCCCCCGGCCTGGGGTTTCCTGGCTCTCCTCTTCCTAAGCCCTGGAGCTGAATGCTGCCATGAGCCCCGGGGGGAAATGGATGTGGTTGGTTAACACTTCTAAAATGCTTTGAAAGCTGAAAGGGAAGGCTGTTATAATGGCTGCTATCATGCAAGGCTCTGCTGATGCTGCAAAGAGTGTTTCTTTGTTTTGTGAATCCTGTGCTTATTATTAATTAGTGTTGCATTAAAGCCCAGGAAAGCTTCAGTTGTGTGCCAGAATCTACTCCGCTGTTGCCTCTTGCTTGTCTCCCTCCCTACTCTCTCCCTGTCCTCTTGTGTCTCATACTTTGACTGCAAGCTCAACAGGGCAGGAGGTGCTGAGTAGAAAACACTCCAAAGCTGTGAGGCTGTTCAGGAGGAGCGAGACAAGCGTGAGAGCAGCAGCACAAGAGGGACTGCTCTGTAACCAGGGCTCATGGCCGGAGCAGGGAAGGTGCTGCGTGAATTTAGCCCTTGGCAGCAGGTCCGGGCGGGAGCAGGTTTCACGGTGCTGGGAGGGCCCAGGCACGATCCTCGCTGTACCTGGGCTTACAGCCGCAGTTGTTAGGCCACAGCTCTCAGTTATTCTTGTTTGAAAGGAGTCAGAAAGAAGCCTACATCTTTCGAGGGTGGCTCTTGAGTCAGGCTAAAACTCACATTTAAACTACATTAAAAAAATTAAAAAGACTTTTTCAGGTAAGTAGCATACGCAATCAGTCAAAATGTCCTGGAAGAAGAAACAAGCAGTTTGCTTTGGGGCAGAAACAGCACAGATATTGCAGTATTGTTTAGGAGAGCCCTGGGGCACGAGGCTGACAGTGGGCATAAAGAGAATCAGATTATTCTGCTTGTGGCCAGCTAAGGAAATTGCAAAAGGAAGCAGAATCCTTGGACAGAGTCCTTGGGAAAAGTAAATTTTAGGGAGAGTTAAACCAATTTTTAATATTGAAAGTATTGTCCTGAAAAGACTTTGAGTCTGGAGCCAGATCTTAACTGCTATAAGCTGGCAATGCTCAGCTTGCCTAGGTGGAGCAGAAACAGTCTGCACTGCTGAAACTGCAGGTTGTGGTTTGTACCTGGACTCTGTCCCTTTCTTTCCCTCTTACCTTCACATGTAAGAAAGAGATGTTTAAACACAGTTTTGTGGATGCGCAGGCATCTTATTTCTGCATTTCGTGTTTATCTGCAGATATGTTGGCGAGCTGATAGCTGATTCCGAGGCAGATGTCCGTGAAGAGGACTCCTACCTCTTCGACCTTGACAACAAGGTACCGTAGCTGAAGGGGCTTGGTTTAAAAAAAAAAAAGGGGGACCTTGCTGCTTCACAAGAGCAGAGAGAATATTTGCCTCCATTTTGGTATACAGCACAATCTGAAAATTTGGAAGGAGGGGGACTATTTCTTAGCTCTTTTTATTCAAAATGAAAAGAGTTTGAGGCTTTGGGTTGTTAAAATAGCAAAGTCTGCCAGTGTTTGACCACTGTGTTGCAGCCTGCCCGCAACAGTTTCCATTGCAGTGGCCTCTTCTCTCAAAACCATTTGGGCATCCTGAGTTCAGCTTTTGATGTTCAGGTGTGTGTGCAGGAGAATGCAGATTCACTGCTGCCTTGACTGGCAGCTTTGTAATTTCTTCACAATAGGAAGTTGATGAATGAGCTCAAAGACTGAAAAAAAGTTCGTGTAGGAAGGGGTCTGTTAGATCCCCTGCAGGGACTCGCAGCGTGTTCTGTTGCCGCTTGTCCAGCCCTGCTTCCCCATAGCAGAAATCCTGATCTGAGGAGAGCAATCTAAAGCTTATAGTAAGATAATTATTTCAGACTTTCCTTGGGAAAAAAAGGTGAGCCGGGGACTTTGTGGAGTGAGGTGGCTTCCAAGAGGAATTTTGGGGAGTTTTTGTCTTTCGTTTGTTGTCAGCTTAGTGACAAAGAAAATTTCTTAAAAATTTGTTAGAAAAGGGATACACGCTTTCAACCACCATTAAGAAAAGACGTAATGAAGAGTCTTGTAGTCAGTGTGAGAACAGAGGGTTTGAATTGTAATTAGCTCTTAACAGTCTATGTCAGGACTGTGGCATTTCAAAGTGGTCGCAATTCTCTAAACAAGGTCTGGAAGAGTCTTGCAGCCTGGGAGCTGCGCAGATGCACCAGGAAGAGTCTGAGTCCCCAGCTACGCGGTGCTTAAGGAACAGTTCTTTATAAAGTGGTTGCAGGGATGGACCAGCACTCAACATGGGCCAGCAGGCCAATGAATCCAACATTTTTGAAGTATTTTAATTCTTACTCCATTGGGGTTTGCCGTATTGATGCCTCGTTGACTTCTGCAGAGTAAATGTTGGTTTCCTCGTCTTCTGCAGTTTTCCATAAGGGCCAAAAGATGAAGCCCTCTTGAGGTGTCCCTTGCTGACATAGGTTGGCGAGCCTTTTAACAGCCCCCTGCCCTGCGAGGTGGGGAGCACTGCCAGCCCTGGCTTCTCCTGCCAGCTCTGCTCAGCTGCGAAAGCCACTCAGCAGCACGTGCAGACACAGGCCTGACTGGGACTGCTGGGCATTGCAGCTGGCAGTCTGCATCATTGAAGGCCATTTTAAATAATCATGTCCTTCCACTTTATGCACTGGAGTTTTTTAGATATAAAAGATGAAAACAACCACCTCCCATACAGGCCTGCACCAGAGCCCTCTTGCTCCCCGTTCTCTTGAGAAGGAACCTCGTGTCAGCCCGGAGCAGGCTCACGATTGCTGCTCTTCCTCTCTGCTCGCGGCTGTGCGCCTCGCAGCTCCCCGAGATCCTTGCAGCAGGGTGGGAAGCAGTTTGCTCTGGGCATCGTCCTCCTCAGCAGCTGCTGGTGGTTAACACAGAAGTGCTGGCTACTCTCCCGAGCAGCGTGTTGCGGTGGGCACCCTGGGGAGCTCAGAGCTTCCGAGGTGCTCGGAGATACGGGGTGGGTGGTGTTGTCGTCACCCAAGAAGGTGGTATCTCCGTGGATGAAAGTGAGGGGGTGATTAGAGTGACTTGCCATTAAAATGAGAGCCTCTAACACCCGGGTGTTAGGTGGGCCCGTGTGGATCACACTTCCCCCAGCCGTGGGGAGAGTTTCCCTGGGCTCCTGGGCCGGTGGGATGCTCTAATCTGGCACAGCTCATCCATTAAGGATTGCGAAGTGCTTGCCCAGAAGGGAATTTGAGCTCTGCTAATGGATCCTTTTGCTTTTGGCCTCTCTGTGACTGAAATTAGCTTCTGTAATTAAAGTCTCTGCTTTGCACAGTCATTCTCTGCTGGAATAAAAAAGCCTTAAGGGGGGTTCTTTTATTTTCAAGGAAAACAAAATACTATTGCTGCCTGGGCACTTTGAAGAGGGAATCTCTGTGTTCTCACTTCCATGTTTATCTGCAGAAAGCCGTGTTTTCTCCAGGCTCTGGCTTTGTGTTTCCTAGCTGTCACGTTCAATTAGGAGGGCGGAGCAGTTGCTGGTCCCCCTCTCCAGTGGCTTCTGTCTGTGCGGTGTTGGTCTGCACAGAACAGAGATCCCCCCAGCCAATGTCAGGAGCATTTGCAGAGGTCTTAGGGCTTGTGGGGGCACGGTGCTGTGGGCAAAGAAACCGTAGTTTGGGGTCTGTTTAATATAAATGTATATGTGTCTTGAAGCCTGCCCTGGCTGTCATCTTCTTGAAGCTCTCTGGACTCTTAGTAGGATGACCTGTCACTTGGTTGGTTTTTAAACATGCAGCAGTAATAATATTAAAAACAACTTCACGTAACGGATCATTCCCTGTTCCTCCCTATAGGATGGAGAGGTGTACTGCATAGATGCTCGTTTCTATGGCAACATCAGCCGCTTTATAAACCACCTCTGTGAGCCAAACCTCATCCCGGTGCGGGTCTTCATGTCGCATCAGGACCTCCGCTTTCCCAGGATCGCCTTCTTCAGCACAAGGCATATAGAAGCCGGAGAGGAAATTGGGTAGGTACCGCCCCGGGGTGCCCTTCCGCTGGCCTGGGGAGAGCGGAGCAGAGGGCAGGGTCCTGCCAAGGCAGAGCTGCCTGAGGGGCAGCGGCTGTGCCTGGGGCATGGCTGTGCCAGCCTGTGCACAGGGAGCTTCTCTGCCAGGTGTCTGCGCTGCCTCCTGCCCCGAGGGACCTGGCTGTGCTCTGCAAACCAGCAGGACAGAGTTTCCTGACAGGGTGAGATGCTGAGGCTCGTCCATTTGGCAAGGCCAAGACAGCAGCTGCAGCTGTCCGTGGGCTCGTCCTTCGCTGTCGCTGTCCTCCTCCATGGCAGAATGAGCAAAGTGCTGCCCGCTGCCCGACGGGCTTGCGGAGGTGCAAATGGAGACCCGGGGACACAGGGTCTTTGGGGACCGCTGCTCTGAGCGTGCTGTGGAGCTGCATGGAGCTAGTGCAGACACCCTTAAAATACCCTGTTCTGTGTTTCAGATGCAGAGAAAGATAACTAATTGTGTTGCTGATTATGTTCTATTGCAGTTCCAGCTTTTTTGTGGTGAGGGAGGCAGGCGGGGGACACATTTACTATTTTTTCCCTCCCTCCCCCCCAACCTTTTTTGAAACAGCCTGAAGTTGGGAGTGCAAAAGCTAACAAACCCCATATACCTGAAAACTGTGACACGACATGGGCTGTGTCACCTGAGTGCCACTGTTGGTGAGGCTCAGGACGTGGTGCCCTGTGCGCGGCGCAGAGGGGATTCGCCCGGTGCTCTGGTAGCATCTGCTTCAGCCTTCGCATCAGCCGGGCGGCTCCTCCGTCTGATCCTGGTCCCTCGTGCTCTGGTTGGTGGCACCGGGACACTGCTTGTCACAGTAACTCCTAGTGGCAGCGCAGAGGGAGGTTCCTCTGCCCTTCAGGGCCCCAGGGCGGCAGGTTGGGCTTTGCACCTGTCCTGCACACAGCATGGAAAAGAAATGCCCTGTGCCCTCTGATGTGCTCCTTCTGCTAAGAGGGCAGATCCCCTCTCATATTGTTTTTTCCATGCACGGGAAGGTGCCCGTGTTGTGATTGTCACTGTGGGTTCCATTTCCCAGATCCACGGGCGGTTGCAAGATCCAGGTCTTGAATTGTTTTTCCAGTGGACCAGGCTCAGGGGCTGAATTTCCCTTTCTTCACTTCTCCTCTGTTATTTTTGCCCCTGTTTTGTGTGTGTGTGGCCAGGAAGCACTGTGGCATGGTGGAGATACTCCTGCTCAGCTCTGTCCCTGTGAGCGGGCCAGGGTTGGGTGGCTTTGTTGTCCAGCAGTGGGCTGGAAACAGAAAACAGAAAGGAGCATGAGCTTGGCCCTAGGTGGTCCTGAAAAGCCTGGTGGAGAAAAGGGGACCTTAGCGAGGGGCCAAGGCTGCCTGCACCTCAATTTCCAACTCTTGAACCTGTCCATGTTATGGAGGGGCCAAAGCTCTGGTTCTCCTGGGCTGCGTGGCCCTCTCCCTGTGCATGCCAGGCAGTGTTCCCTGCATCCCACAGAGCACTTCCTGGGAAGCTCCATGAAGGCCCAGATTGATGGAACGTTCTGAGCCCAAGCTCCTGGTACTGGTGTGCGCTGATCCCTTTTGCTCTAGCCCTTTCTTCCAGTGACCCACTGTGTTGTCTCTCTTTTCCAGCTTTGACTACGGAGACAGGTTCTGGGACATCAAAGGCAAATACTTCAGCTGTCAGTGTGGTTCACCCAAGTGCAAACACTCGAGCTCAGCGCTGGCCCAGCGGCAGGCGAGCACCTCGGCCCAGGACACCCAGGAAAACGGGCTCCCCGACACCAGCTCTGCCACGGCAGCCGGCCCCTTTTGAGGCTCCGCTCCCCAGAGACTGACTTGTTTTAACCCTATAGATTCACATACTATCTGAATTTCCATTTAAAGAGAAAACCCGCTCAAGGAAAGCCAAGGGTTCGTGACACTTAGGGCTGTGCCACCGACTGTTACTTGAGGAATAAGAAAAAGCAAATCCCGCCTCCATGGTGTTGTTCTCCCCTCCCCAGTCCTGGGAAGCTGCTGGTTTTTACAGTGAGTGCGGAGGGGTGGCTGGTGCGTTTTTTCCATGCAAGCTGTCCAGGCCTCCATCTCTGAATGTGCTAAGTGTTGTCAGAGCCCAGGGAGAGCCGCCGTCCTCCTCCGAATCTTGTTAATTGAATGGATCGCTCATGCCAAGTCATCTCCAGTTCACTTGTAATAAACTTTGAATACTTGATGGGACTTTCTTTCTAAAAGCCGGGGAAAGCAGGGGGTGGGAAGGGAGGTGCTGGCGCTTTGGTTTTCTTGGCACAGCCCTTGGGGCAGGTTCTGCTGGTTGTTTTTGTTGGTTTGGTTTTATTTCTTCTCCCCTCAAACCGTGACTGTCTCCCCATCTCGCAGGACGTTGCAGTGTGGTCTGTCCCTCTCCTGTCACTAGGAGCTAGAGGACAATGGATGCCTCTCGCTTAGCAAACCCACTGACTTGCTCTTTTGCTCTTCTAATGAGAAGAAATCCACAATACTTAAACTCCTTTGGTCCTAACCTGTCTCCCGCACGGACCAGAGCCTCTTTACCTCAGCCCCTCTTCCCTTCCAGGCTTTCTCCGTCAAAAACCAGCTCTCGTCTGCGCCTCTTGGCCGTGTTACTGTTTCAGTGTTTGTTTCATCAGTGGAAGGATTTACCTCTCCTATCACATTGGCAGTTTTAGAGAGGGAAGATTGAAGGGGATTGTGCAAGACACTAACGTCATAAGAAAATCAGTTTTCTTTAAAAAAAAAAAAAAAAAAAAAGTGAATGATATATATATTATAGAGAACCTCGACTCACGTCTGCCGGCTGAGGCAAACAGCAGACAGGACATGTCACAGCGAGAAGATCCCAGATGTCACCAGCTCATCTGTTCCCATCACTTTTCTCAACACTGGGCACCTTCGATTAATTTTTAAGCCACACGCTATGAGGTTTAAACAAACTGATTTATTTTTTACCATTGCTGAAACATTGGGGACTAGCATTAAAACAAAAATATTAAAAAAAAAAAGGCAAAACAACAACAAAAAAGAAACCACAAAACAAAAACGGTGCTGATTCTGGTGTGATTTTTGCTCACCACGTGAATATAAACTATCAATTGTATAAAAAGAACAAAGTGATTTTAGTATAAAATGCAGGAAAAAAACACAAAACTTTTTTTAAATTGTTAGTATTGTAGTGTGAATAAATTTGCCATCACCTTTTGTGTGATGGCTGGGCAGGTCATTATCTTAATTTTTTTTTTGGCATATATCTTTAAATACTGTAATTAGTGCAGTAACAGTTTTTTTTTTTTTTTTTTTGTTCATCTCTTCTAGAACATTCATAATGCCGTCATGTTTATTATTTTTTTTTCTGTTAATGTTTTTGACAGTTTTAAAGGAGCAGTCTTTTGGCTCTGATCATTTTCTTGTTCTGTTTTCAATGAAATCAATAAAAAAAAAAAAAAAGTGCTTTAACCCGACTTTGGACCTTCTTTGTCGACGGCGGCGGCGGCAGCTCGCCAGGCGCGAGTCTCGCGGTGCCGGTAGGAGGATTTAACCACTCAAAAGGTTTAGGAGGAGTGGTGTTCTGTGTTAGAAGTTTCTTATCTTTATGATTCAAAGGAAAACAAAAAAAAAAAGAAAAAATTGGGAATACGTCCAAGTGGCTGTGGTGCAGCCCACCTGTGTTGTCTTGGAGTTGTTTTGGTGTTTTTTTTTGTTTGTTTTGTTTTTTTTAATTTTGTATGTTTTTTGGTAATGTAACGTAGGGCTGGGTTTGTGGCCCTGTGCTTGCCAGCAGGCTCTGGTGCTGCGGGACTGCACCAAGAGGGCTTGGGGAAACTCCTGCCCGGAGGCTGCCTCTGTTTCCAAGGTTGAAAAAAAAAAGAAAAGAAAAAGAAAAGAAAAAAAAGGTAAGGAAAGGATTGGGAGGAAGGTGCAGGGCTCTGCTGGACAGTGACAACAAGCCCAGTTGGGCCTGCTGTGGTGGACACAGAGCTCCCTCCGCGGTGTCCCTGTTTCCTTCGGCGCCGAGCAAAGACCGCAGGCACTGGCGTCCCCGCACCGGGTAAGCGCTGAGGTGATACTGAGGACTGTGCGTTGCAGGGAGGGCTGGCGCGGGCGCTGGGTAAGCGCCGAGATGATGCTGAGGACTGTGCGGTGCCAGGCGGCAGCTGCCAGGGCTGGGCTGCCCTGGGGTGGCCCCTGGGGCGGATCGGGGCTGCCTTGGCGCTGGGCTCTGAGGCTCCCCCTGCGGGGAGCGCGGCTGGGGGTGACTAAGCGCTGCGCGCCCTCTCCATAAAAAATAATCCAGGAAAAAAATCAGCTCTCTGAGTCACAGGCAGTCTATAGCTCATAAAAATATTCATAAACGGTGGCAACAGCGCGGCCTGAGTCCAGCGAGGGCAAGCGGAGAGGCAGGCGCTGGGCTGCGACTCAGCCTACGTCATGGGGCCCACGCACTGCCCCGGCTGGGAGAGGCTCCCTGGCCTCTACAGCCCCTTGCTCATCCCTGCGGCATGGCCTGGCTGGGGGGACCTGCTCCCGCCTCCGCCTGGGCACCCTCCATCCCGGCAACCGCAGGGGCTGCGGCTTCACCTGGGCCTCAGGTCTGAGCATGGGGCCGGAGCGGGAGCCACTTGTGGGAAGGCTGATCTCAAACAGTCGGAACAAATCAGCTGGTGCACTTGAGCGATCCCTAGTTCCTGAGGTGCCATGTTTCCAAGCATCCAGGTGAGACGGGGTTGGCAGCCAAGGGATGTCATTTTTTTTAAGTCCGCACAGACACTGACTGTGATTTTAATAGGAATTTCTCCTGAACCTGATCAAACGGCCTCCGGCACCGTGCTGGACGAGCCAGGGTGGCTGCAGCCTTGCTGCATGCGTGTGGTTTCTAATCAGGTAAATTAATGAGACTGCTTGTGTAGGGGTCAGGCTAACATCAACAAGAGCACAGAGACGCCAAAGGAAAGGTTTCACCAGTGGCTCAACCCGATGTTGTTCAGCTGAATTCCCGGCGGCAGCTTGTACCTCCAACCTGGAATGCGCTTGGTCGCTGCCGGGATACGGGATACTCCTGGAAAGCAGAAGGGGGATGGAGCTTTGCTCCCTGCCAGCTGGTCCAAACTCAAGAGTCTTCGCCAGAATAGATGCTTTTGTCTTAACGTAAATTTGAAAATGACTTTTTGGTTAGCTAGAACATGTCGAGTTAGAAGGCTGAAGCCCCTGGTGCTCTAAAAGGGTGGCGAGCCCGTCCCCACATTGTAGCTCTGTGCGCGCCAGCACTCACACCTGGCAGAGCCTCACGGTCCTGCCCCGTGGGGCTGCCTGGGGCTCGGCTGAGAAGCGCTTTGTTTGAACGGATGCTACAATTTTAACGCTGATATTTTGACTTACAGCCTGAAGCCAAGTGTCCCTGTAGCGGACCGATGGCTCTTTGTGAAACACCAGCTTAAGGTCTTTGCTGTGAACACGTTACCAAGCTTTCAGCACTCGAGGGGTAACATTCTGGGTTTTGCTCCCTGCCATCAACTGCGGTTGGGGGGAGGCCTCCAAGGGCACGGAGCTGCGCAGCCCAGTTTGACCCTCTGGGGACCAGGCTGGGTGTCAAGTTTTGGCGCTGGGGCGCTAAGGAGGAGCCAACACCTGGTAGGTTTGTGGGGGTTAGATGAAGACATAAGTGAAGTTGGATGGGGTGAAGCAGCCTGGGCTGCCAGCCCACGATGCTGGTCTCACTCCAGCAGTGAGTCGCCACATTCAGCTGACTTGATGTGCCTCAAACTGTAAAATATCCCCAAAATACCGGTGCTGAGCTGACTTCTCCTCTTTAAAGACTCCGGCTCTGCGTAACCCAGTGCTGGCCTCTCGCCTCCCAAGCATGTGCGGCGGCGATGACGTCCCCGAGGCAAGCAGCAGGTGAAAGCACCGCAACACAAACGCGCAACTGTGACCCCGCTCCTCGCTCCTCCAGCCTCCACCAACATGGGGAGCAATGTCAGTGATCTGCTGATGGCGCAGGATATTGCGTCGACTGCTGAAAGAGACCTGCTATCGCTCTTTTAATTTCCTTTTCGGGGACATGTCTGTGTTAAGCGGAAGGATGAAAAGCGATGGGCCAGCAGGGAATGTCCTGGCTCGGCTGTGGAAGCCCTGCGTTAGACGCAGGCTGAAATCCATGTGTCCCTGGGACATATTTCATGCCTCTGGTCTCTTTGCTGGCATTGGGCTAAGTTTTGCTATTGTATGATACCAGAGTGGTCCTATTTATTTTTACTGTTTTCTCAAATTTCCTTGTTGGAGAATCCAACAAGGGGGCTGAGTAATCATAAGCAATAAAACCTTAAACTAAGGAAGGGCTTTTGCTATAAGATGCAGACCTGGTCAACGCAGGGTCCTTTGGAGTGGCCTCCAGGGAGGGCTGACAGGGGATTTTTGTTAAAATGCAAACAATATTTAAAGTGTTAAATATTCTTTTTTTTTCCCTTGGAACCCCAAGCTTTACACACTGGTGCTGCAACGAATCCCCCTTTTCTGCTTGGGCAGCAGCAAACTATGCAAGGCAGAAGCGGCCCCTCATGCCAGGAGGCCTGGTGGTGCTGCTGCCTCCCCATCACTCCCATGGGCAGTCGCAGTTGTGGAACAGGTGCCCAGGAAGAGCCTGTGAGCAGAGGTGAAATGTTTCTGCTTTGATGGGGAGAGGAAGGTTGAACGAGGTCAGTCCAGAGCCCGAGTTTTCTTGCTGGGCTCTTGCCTTTTGATTTCTGTTTGCCGACGCGGCAGATGTTTATGAGGCCTCAGCAAACAAGACTGGCGCTCAGCAGCTTCAGGGCTTCTGCTCACAACCACTCTGCACTGCTGACAGGACGCGAGCGAGGAACCCTCGCTGTGTGTTTGCGGTGTTTGAGGAGGTGGTGCCCGGCAGCCCCACCGCGAGGCAGCGGCGCTCTGCAAACAGCAACCGGTGCAGGAGCCGGGGTGCAGGAACAAGAGCGCAGGAGCTGGGGTGCAAGAGCAGGGATGCAGGAGCTGGGGCGCAGGAGCAAGGATGCAGGAGCAGGGGTGCAGGAGCCGGAGTGCAGGAACCAGGATGTGTGCTGAGTGACCTGCTGCTCGTGCGTCCCATGCGACCTGCTGCTCCGTCCTGCTCCCACCCCAGGCAGCCGCGGCATTTGCTGCTTGGGACACACTCAGCACTAGCAATGACGGCTCAAAAGGCTGCATGTTGCTCTCTGCCTCGCTCTTTGCTCTTTGCCTGCGCTTTCCCCGAGGACTCCACTGACCAGAAGGGTGATGAACATGAAGGAGCGTCCCCT